TAGTGTAACAGTGTGAAACCTGTCTATGTGTTCTGCGCTAATTACCGATCGGTGCAATCTTAAGATTGCTTTGCGCGTTTAAACGTTTGTATAATTGCGCTTAGGATTGCTCTGCGCGTTTTAATGATCGTATAATTGTACCGCAATCTGAAGGCTGCGTTAAAATTTTATATTTTTGGAATAATAAAAAAAAATAAATAACATTCATCTTTATTCTTTTACTCTCATCAAGGAACGTTCACATATATTTTCAAAAGTGTGAAAATATTAATATTAAAATTAAAATTAACTTATGAAACTGAAGAGCTCTCAAGAATGATTCAATTCCAGGTACAGTGGAATCCTGTTATAACGAGAGGGAGGGGACCGGAACAAAATGTCCGCTATAGCAGGATTCTCGCTATAAGGGATCCAGTAATTAATTCAAGAGAAACTGTAAAGTAGGCCTAATCTATGAGTTTGGTGTTTTGTTTATTTCCTTTTGCTATCTCCCCTGAAGATGATTTTGTTTCAGTATGACCTCTAGGTCTTACTTTATCAAAAATTGAATCAGGTTTCTTTCTCTAGCGTCAGATCTAGTGATGTTGACAGACAGCTCAGCGTTGGCGATCAGAAAGAAAGGGCTCTGGGCTAACTCACCCGCTGTGTTTTCCCCCACTCCACCACACCCTGTGGTGCATTCCGTCAGCTTGCCCACGTCACACATTCACTCCATCCATCACATTTATTTGACCTCTCCATCCCCACATCGGAGAAGTGAGAGGCCTGGTAGGCTTTGATAGATTTAATCTAAACAAGGCTTACGCTGGCCTATCATGCGATGCGTTCTGCTTGTCTGCGCATGTCACACCCTCCCTACTCAGTCGCTCCGGCCTTCATTGTTGACACATATATGCTCTCCCATTCTTTGTTTCTCTAGATCACCAACAAGTTTCTCAACTGGCGAGGTTTTACATTATGTATAATTGGTGTATGCACTGCGCACAGCAGCAGCAATATTCCGCCATAACAGACTCGCGTGTTTGTCTGATTGCGCTATAGCAGTATTTTATTTACAAAGGTAAAGAAGAGAAAAAAAATGGGGTTTTAGAATGGTGCCTTTATAACAGACTTCTCGTTTTTTTCGGACTCGTTATAAGTGGACTCCACTGTGTTGAACACAAAGTTCACAAAGTACATTTAATTTATTTTGTATTTTTTAAAATATTTTAAAAAAAATTCTTTTACTCACATAAAGGAACATTTGTAATGGGCAGAGCAATCTTAAGATTGCTGCGCAATTATTTGATTGTTAAAACACGCAGCACAATCTTAATCTTAAGATTGCACTGATAGGTAATTAGCATGGAACATATATATTGCGTAGAAGTGATGAAATAATTGCACTCTGTGTGTAAATCCCTCACCAGCAGCTGGCCCTGACCTCTGTTTTCAGAAAATTTTGTAGGGTGATCCCTCACAACCATCTGTTTCATGTTGCCTCAGTCAATATCTCCTTGACTGCTCTTCTCCGGAATTGCTTTCAGTGTAACTTTTTCAAGCTTTAAGGGAAAAGGGCATCAATGTGGCTGGTACAAGTGCACTAGACCTGCCTTTATTGTTGCCGTTTTTGTGAAATGTGCAAGACATGTTACCTTCTTCTCTACTGTACAGTCGTATATACAGGTACCCGCTTGTGTTCTCCAAAACGTTTTCACTGGTATTCTGTTTGACCGGTTTATAGAGGATGTTTTAGGATATGGGACTGCTGCTTGGGCAGTTGCTTACTCTTAATAAAACAGAAACATAACTATGGCTATGTTTATATGGCTCTTGAACAGACATTTCGTCTTGTCTGTATAAACATAAAGATGGGAAAGTCTTAGCTGTGAAGTGGTTAAAATAAAGTGGCGCGCAAGTCTTAATATTGACTGTGTTGAGACTGACACCACTACTCTCATTATGAGGACCAAGAATGTACCGTGGGGTCCGCTTAAACCAAACATAGTGAATCTGTTAACAGTAATTTCTCCTTCTGTTTCAGCAACCTTTCTAAACTGAAAACCCAGATAAATGAAGAAAGCCTGACAGTCTCTCAGATTTTGGCTTAGGCAGTCTCCACTGTACATGCCATTTCTCAGCATATTATTCTGATTTTGGTAGGCATATACTTGTAAAATTTGAATTTGCTAAAGTCTTGGATGAATAGTTGAAATTTGCGCTATTTCCAGATTATGGAAAAAGACCAGTATAGGCCTATATTCACAAATGCAGCAGCAAGTAATTGATGCTACAGAAAAAGCTAGACATATTTTTTTACTTCAACAGTGATATATTGTGCTTGATTTTGGTTCATACCCTTTATATTGAAAAAAGCTATTTCTGTCTGTAGTTGCAATGACGTCTCTATTTGATCTGACTCAGTTTGGAAAGATATGGTCTTTTTCCACATTGGAGAGTAGAGATAAGTTGTCTTGGACGTTGTGCAATATATTCCCACTCATCATTATCTTGTCCATTCAGTTACAAGACGTCAAATTAATATTAACATAATAATTATTATAAGCTCTGAAATATTGAAGTTCATTTCTATATTGTTCCAAAGATCCTTGGAATTTATAGTGTGCTAAATGTATGTATGCCTGCAAAAGATCTGAACATTGGCCAAAAATTTAGCATTTTGTCCTAGAAAATAGTCTTGTAAGAAAAAACAAGTTTGACCATTATTTCTGAATCACATAATAAAAAGATTTTACACTTCTTTTGTGTTTTTATTTGTTTATTTATCATTTTTCAGACCCCAGGAACTTAAAAGAAGTTTGAAAATGTGACAGTTCATGTCATCATGCTTCAATTGTGTTGAACCTGTCAAAAATATGAACACCTGACACATTATGTGTGCCAAGTTTCCAACTCTTGACTGCATGGAAGCTACATGTTTACCACATGCACAAGGACATAAAAATATCATATAGATTACATATATATATATATATATATATATATATATATATGTGCTGTGCTAGTTTCAAGGTCATGCCTTGCAATGAAAATGAAGATCATATAATAATCGCATTTTGATAAAATTTGCCCTCCTAAACATACCCATTTCGAAACTGTTAAAGCGACTGCAACGGTGCAAATAAGACAAAAGCTGTAGAGGCTGTTCAATTGATTATCAATAATCCCAGTAATTATAAGCACTGGTGTCTGAGGTGAAGAGGTTAAGCCCTTTGCCATTAGATGCAGGAGACCCAACTTCGATCTCCAAGTGGAGATAATTTTTATCAAGTATCTCCCTTCTTCACTTAATTTGAATGGGCTTATATTATGTGGTGTAGCAGGTGTTGTGTTTAGTCACTTTGCTGTGCCAAGCAGGAGAGTTCGCTTCCTGAATGCAGAATATTTGCATCTAGTATCTTAGCCCGGGATGGAGCCTGCCACCTAAATGATGTAAAGTATGTCGATAGGGGTGTAAAAACACCTTAAAAATCTGAATTATTGTCCCGGTACTTAATCTGACACACAAATGTAAATGTGTGTCAAGTTAATTATTTAGCAGAGAGTTACTGTCCTGTTAGTAAGTAGCCTGTACAGGCAAGGCATTCCCCAGAGCAATAAGAATGATAATCTCTTTTGATCTCCCAAGGAGATTTTTTTTGGACTGAAATGTGCCCACAATTTTTTTGTGCCTAAAAACTGAATATAAAAAAAAAAATCAAAGAGCCATTTCCATTTATTTAGTGCTGAAACAGTAATGTGCTTGTTCTATAACCTAAATGCAGTAGCATACTTTTCTGGATTTCTTTTATTTTGTTGTTGTTGTAAAAGCAGTAGTAACAAATAGGTAGATCTAGCTGTTTAATAATTTAAAAAAAAAGATGTATTAAAAAAGCACCTATGATATCAGTAGAGTAAGCAGGCATGTGGCAAAAACAGTGTCCCTTGGGTATGTATGGACCCTGAAGTCACCACAGAAATTCAGAACTGTTTATAGAAACGATGTTATGTTTATGCTTGAAAGGGCAAAATTTTCTTAGTTCTGAGACCTGAGAAGTTTGTGACGGACTTATTTTGGCTGAGTGAGAAGTGAGTTCAGACTCAAAAGTTATGTCAAGCAAGTGTCGGTGACACAGGGTTTAAGTGGATGGACATAGGAGTATGTTTTTGAGCAAGCCATAACAAAGCTAGTTCACTAACAGGGCGCTGCACTGTGGAGTCCAGCAATGGCATGTTTATGAAATGGCTGAAATTAAATTGTTCTGTATTGGTGTGATATTGCATAATTTTGTTTTTGTGCAAGCTATGTATTTATATATCTATGATTTTAAAATTATTTATTTATGTATGTATTCCTGTTTGCCATTACTGTTTGCCGTACTTAAGTACGGCTAGCCACTTCGTAAATGTGTTTCGTTTATTATAAAAAATTAATTATTGTAAATAAGAAACGCCGAAGTATACAATAGAATTAGAGTAAGCTCTTTAGCTTGAGGAGACGACAAAAAATCCCGTAGAAATGGAGAATCGATAACTGTATATTTTGCCCTTTCCGATTCCTACTAACAAAGAACTATTAAGCAAGCGAAAGAGTTGAATTTTGAGAGCCATGGACCTGCCTCCAAATTCTTTGTACCAGTAGGAGAATTTCTTGTAATCTTCCTTTCTTCAACTTATATATACTATTTTTTTTTGTTGCCTTTCACCACATAAATCAACTGCTGAATAAAAAGCGTAACCGCTCCTTTCATATATTTCGCCCCCCCCCTCCCCCCAAAAAAGACGAAACAGCAACAAACAAACCCAACAACAACAACAAAACCACAAATTCAGGGAGATTGGACTGCCTCACCCACTATCCAAGGGAGACGGTGGCCCTGGCGAAGAGCACGCTCTTCGGGGCTCCAAACTAAAAAAACATTTCGAACGGAGGCTACCATGACACACACAACAACACGTCAAATAAAAACACAACTTCTGTTTACAAGCTAACCAAAATATTTGCACTCTGAAACTCATAACAGATAAGAGACATAATAATAATAACGATCCCTAATAATAAACATGTGGGATGATGTTACTGTACAACAATCCGCAAATAAAAATTAATCAAAACATAATCTTTGTATGGTTCAGCTCTTGTTAGAGATCGCAGTTACATCTAATTTGCTGTTAATCAAACACGATGAGAAAACAATGCCAAAAACATGTACAACATGATATCTGCCTTTGGCTTTTAAAAATATTAGCTGGGGTTTTAAAGAGAAATAACGTCAATCTGACTTCTTAGCGTCATTTTGGCCAACATCACAGATATAATAATAATATATAGATAGATCTATGTGTGATTATTTTGTGCAGAACACAATCAAAAGAGTCTATCAATCGTCGGAACGGAGTTTACAAAAAGAACAGAAGAAATCGAATCTGACTGGCTTTACCGATCCTCTCACCTCTCCACTCTCCTCCCTCTCTCTCACTGACTGACTTGATGATTCTGACAACACAAACACTGACGAGCTTTTTCACTTGCGTTTCACAAACTGTTCGATCTATGAGAGGAAAAACAAAAACATGACTGAATGAATGTGTCTAAGGCTCAGCAGTAGATCTAGATCTAGATCTATATCTAGTAGATATCTAGATCTAGATCTAGATTCCAGATCTCTACCAATGTTAAAGGCAGGTAGCGGACTGTCGTAAATTATTGGACATAAAAGTCATCCTGTGATGTCACTACAATAGTAGACCCAGTCACATCGGACAAGGCCAAGAAGGCTAGATCTAAATCCTAGATCTAGGCCTACTTAAAATCGTGCCACTTTGTGTACCATTGAATTGTCTTGATTATCACTGTCAGTCGTGTCAGTATTTACAATTTACAAGTAAGTTGGCCTAGATTAGATTCTACCTGTCTGTTTTGTGTCAGATTAGTCAAGTGATATTATGAAACGGAGTGGTTATTCCGCTCAATTGTGCGAACAGCTGTCAAGATCTAGTTATCCGCACAACATTGTATGCACAATTGCTACACTATTGTACGAATAATTGCTAGCTACAGTTATCCGTACAATCAATAGATCTAGATCACAAGTAATACAGTGGAATCCTGTTGACTGTTGGTCTATAACAAGAGGGAGGGGACCAATGCGAAATGTGCGTTATACCAGGATTCTCGTAATAAGGGATCCAGTAATAAATTCAATGGAAATAATAAAGTAGGCCTAATCTATGAGTTTGGTGTTCTGTTTATTTCTTTTTGTTATCTCCCCTGATGATGATTTTGTTTTAACATGACCTCTAGGCTAGGTCATACTTGACCAAAAATCGAATCAGGTTTCTTACTCTAGCGCTAGTGATGTTGACAGCTCTGCGTTGGCGATCAGAAAGAAAGGGCTCTAGGCTGACTCGCCCTAGAATCTGTGCTTTCCCCAACCCCACCACACCCTGTGGTGCGTTCGGTCTGCTTGCGCACGTCATACATTCGCTCCATCCATCACAGCTTTGTGACCTCTCCATCCCCGCATCGGAGAAGTGAGATGCATGGTAGGCCTAGATAATCTAGAATAGGCTGCCTATCACGCGATGTGTTCTGCTACTCTGCGCATGCCACACCCTCCTCACTCATTCGTTCTGGCCTTCATTGTTGACACACGTGGGCTCTCCCATTCTTTGTTTCACTAGTTCACCAACAAGTTTTTCAACTTACAAGGTTTTACATTTTAATGTAAAATTGACCTCTATGAGCTGGGCACAGCAGCAGCAATTATATTCCGCTATAACAGACTCGCGTGTTTGATTGCGCTATAGCAGTATTTTATTTACAAAGATAAAGAAGGAAAAAAACCCGGGGTTTTAGAATAAAGAATAGTGTCTTTATAACAGACTTCTCGTTATTTTAGGACTCATTATAAGTGGACTCCACTGTACATGCCCACAGGACTAGATCTAGATCTATGTTTTGTCTTAGTAGAGATCAGTGTTTCCAATTCCGGAACCCGGTTACCGGGCACCTTGTCTATATCTACGTACACGGTAACTGGGCACCTAGAAATCTATTCTCACCTAGTCTCAGTATCTTCGTACACGGTAACCAGACACCTCCTAGTCTCAGTATCTACGTACACGGTAAACCGGAATGAAAATATAAATATTTTGTCCTGTGCTGTCACTTGCTGAAAAAATAGAAAGTCATACAAGCGTCTGGTCGCGCTCGCCATGGTGACCGGTCAGTGAACCTGTGCGTGCCCATCACATTGTGAGTACCGGTTGGGGGTCACCAAAGTTCATTCAAAGCCTGTGCGCTGCGAAGTATAGGGCTCCGCAATGGAGAGATTATTGACTTTTTTTTAAAGGTACAGTCGGGAGGGGTGGGGATGAAGGCAGCACCGGATGACAAAAACTGAACTTGGAGTTCTGAACTGCCCGGTTACCGTGTACTTAGACACTCCGTTCCAATTTTCCTCCAGCGGAAATTTTTTAATGGCCGGCTCTATTTCTCAGACCACTCGGGAAAATAAACTTGAACTCTATTTCTCCGAACGGTTTCTGCTCTCGAGATTTTTAGGTTATAATTTGTGAATGGAGTGGCCCGTGTGAGTGTGTGCATGTGTAGATCTATGTGTGTGTATGTTGTGTGTAAGGTGTGAATGGGGAGGGCGTGGGCCTTGGAGAGATATTTTTGTTTGTTTTGTTTTAGTTTTTGCTTTGGGGTGATTAAAATGCAAAATAGGTTAATACTGTCAAAATTGAGCAGTCTTGTTTCCTCGCAGTACCTTTCTTTTGATTTTGAAGGCATTTTCAAATGAAGTATAGTCCGGGAACGTTGCCTCAACCACAATTGAAGTATCTGAATATTCAGACATCTAAAAAATCTCTAGCTCTAAAAATTGAATTCGAGGCCAAAATGCTTTTTCCCAGTCCCCGCAGAATGGCAGAATGAAAGATGACGCCGAACTCTCGCAAATAACCAAAAAATCTCGAGAAGGGAAACCGTTCAGAGAGACAGAGGTCAAGAAGTTTATTTTCCCGAGCGTTTGAAGAAATAGTCACTTTGTTTTTAAATTTTTCCCTCAGACCCCATCTGCCGATCCGATGCCCGCCACCTCATTGATGGTGTGTCCCCCATATAAAAAAAACCAGTGGCTGTGTGTGGACCAAGATTTGGGTGGGGCTTAGGTTTCTTCCACTTCTTTACCACCAAAAGGCAAGCAATAAGAACAAAACAGTGATGATTTTTCTATACTCACGGCGAGCCACGGCATTTTGAGAACCATTCAACGAGGAGAGTCACCTTTGTCTTCCATCTCTTTGTCCTTAGTTAAATTTAAGCTTCTGGATGGTGGGTACGAAGCCGTTTCACCTCCAAATTTCTCTAAGTAGTTTTTATCTGAAGATAAAGTTGCCTCAAAAATGGTTTGATGTAATTAATAACTGTTAAATCTCAGCGGCACAAACACACAGCACTCCAAACACATACCGTCTATGAGGTGGATTGGGTCGTGTTGTTGCGGAAAATAGAACGCGCCTAACAAAGGCCTGATGGGCGCATAGGTATCTGTGTCACTGGGGGAAAGTGTGTCGTAAACTTTCACCCCATTGTCAGGGCTGGGAGAGCGTGAGCCCTCTGTACAGTGTTATTTTTTAAGAGTCTTCTACCTTTTTACAAGAAGAGTTTCATTAAAGACGGGCGTGGGAACCGACTTATTCTTTCTGAGCCCTAACGACATTTGATTGGCTGTTAGGTTACTATAGTTATAAGCGGTGACTACAATGATTGGATAAACGGGCAAGCCGCCAAGCTGATAACTGTGTGTTCATTGTGTGCGATCATAACGGTTTCAACTGCTTATTTCGCTATTTAAGAAACTTTCTTTAACTAAGGGATAGAGTTGGGGTGGGGAGGGGGTGGGGGTGAGGGGGCTCAAGCCCGTAAGCCCTTCACTACCCACCGCCACTAAAAAAAAACCCTGTCTAGATCTAGATGTATGTGTTGCATTAAAACCCTGCTGTAAAAATATTTAAGCTTAATCTACCTTATTCTGTTGATAGTCCTGATGGCCGAAATGCCAGCGTGTCTGCGTTTGAAGAAGTATTAGCGTAAGTTATAAATGTGGGTTCGAATCCCGGTCCTGGAAGTTTTTTTATTTTTTTTCTCTTCCCCTGACTGACCAACAATTTTTTCCCATAATTGTTTGTTTTGACTTGAAAGATTTCCACTGACGGTTTTGTGTAAGAAAAAAGAAACATAATAATAGTCATAAAAGATCTTGGGCCTACTTATAATATTTTAACCACAGTATAGATCTACTTTTCATATTAAGCCTACCAATTTAGGCCTGGTTAAAGTTAAATATATATCATATTAATATTGATTTTCAACCCAGGGGAGAACCAACTGGATAACTAGATCTAGGCTATTTTTACCAACAACCTCCAAAATTCGAATAATTGTACGAATATATCGGGTTGTTGGTACAATAACTAGTTAGAGTTGTACGCACTATTGTACCAATAACTGCAGCCTTATATGATAAAAACTTCCGAAATGATTGTGTGAGCTGCAAGTTAGTAAGTTACTGAGACTAAGTAACGGTCTCTTGAATGCTGCAGTGGTAAGTTTACATACAAAAAGGAAAGAAAGGGGCTGACTTGGGTTTTGATTAATTTAAAAAGTAGGCATATAATTGATGCTGGTCCACCCACACTTAGTTTTGAACTTGCGTTCTTCATTTTCATTTGGCTCAATGATGGTCTACCGCAATGTTTCTGTTCTACTTGATGGTCAACCACCAGATAGGTCAGTTTTACAACTGGCACTGGTCTACCAGTCTTCCACGCTCCACAATATTTTAAAAACATTTTCCCTCACATCAGATACAAGTTTGGTGTATTAAAATTGTTTTGAAATGGTGGTTGTAGAGTTGTTGGGGGTGGGTGGGGGTCTGGTCAGGGCGGGGACTGATTTTTTGCAGCTGATTTTGTGCAAGGGTAAAATATAATGAAACGAAAATCTGTCAGACCCAGTGCCATGGTAAAACAAACATATGGGTCGCCACCACTCAAAGAACAAGCGATGTTTCTGTCACAAGTTCATATTGATGTCCATTGTCACTTTTTTACAGACTTGGTAAACCGTGACCACTCATCTCACTTATGATTTGTGTATGATTTGTTGTGGGTGGGGCTTATAGATTTATGAAGTATTACACACTTCCCTCACCAGCAGCTGAAAATTTATTGTTCCTATTAGTCAACCATGGAAGGAATATAGATGCAACATGATTGGTTGGAGGGACTATCTTACTATCTAACAATTATACAATAACGATAGGTGATTGAATTATGACGGCTCATCCACAACGTCAGGGGCCAAAACATAATCTATGACAAAACGTCGGGCGATGAGAGAGGTGGCCATTTAATTTTAGTCTAAGACAGGTGTAATTGGTTGGTGTGTGATAAAATATGGCTACGGCGAGGTTGACCAAGGTGTCCATTTTACAAACTGAAATTATATTTTTTTAAAACAAGGGGGAAAATGGAAAGTGGCCTTTTGTACAGGTGGCCATATTACATAGGTGGCCATCATGGCAGGTTCGACTGTATTTTGCTAACGACGTGACTATTTCTCAGAACGCTCGCGAAAATAAACTTGATCTCTATTTCTCAGAACGGTTTCCCTTCTCGAGATTTTTTGGTTATTTGCGAGATTTAGGCGTCATCTTTCATTCTGCCATTCTACGAGGCCTGGGAAGAAGCATTTTTGTGCATCGAATTCTATTTCTAGAGCTAGAGATTTTTAAATGTCTGAATATAATATTCAGATACTTCAGTTGTGGTTGGGGCAATGTTCCCAGACTATGTATATACTTCACTTGAAAATGTCTTCAAAAGGTGCTGCAAGAAAACAAGATTGCTCGACCATGGCTGTATCCTGTTTCGCATTTAGTCAACCCTAAAGCAAAAACTAAAATCCTTCATGTAGCCTTAACAAACGAAAAAAATCCCTCCCCCGCCCCCACGCTTCGTTCACACCTTATACACTCGCACACACTCTCACACACACATACACACTCAGACGCGCACAGGGATCACTCCATTCGCAAATTATCAACAAATCTCGAGAACGAAAACTATGGAGAAATACAGTTGAAGTTTATTTTCCCGAGGGTTCGGAGAAATAGAGCCGGCCTTTTGTTAAAGTGCAGAACAGGCTTAAAAAACTAAATTACTTTGTGTCAAATGTGTTTTTGTCTGATTAGTCTTCTATCATTTACGTTCGCACTTTTTTGTATCATTATGACCCAGCCTTCTTTTCTCCACCCCCCAGCCTCATTAATCCTGCTCTTACTCACATTAATCACCCTGTCTAGTCTAAGGCAGAAATGTTGTTATGTTACGTTATGGTTCCACTTTAAATTGCTTTTACTTTTGTTTTCAGTTGTCAATCAGTATGAAGAGAAATTCGTCAGATCACCACCAGCAGCCCCCATCGAAGGTTCTGTGTGTTTCTGAAAGTGGTGACAGCCAAAGCCCTCTGCCCTCCTCTTCTAGTTCAACAGTTGTGTCCTCATGCCCTGACAGTCGGGGCACTGAAGCAGCTAGCAATGCCACCGTCATCTCTACCAGCAGGAGTTCTACATGTGTTGGAGCTGCCAGTGCCTCACTGACCGTGATAAGGGATTTGCACAGCCGATTTACGTCTGTGTTGGAGAGGAGCACTCAACCTGCACCTCGGATAGGCCACCTTGGGGAACATGGAAGGACGCGAAGCATTTCTGCTTCTGAGATAAACACAAGAACAGGTCTTGGCCTGAATCGACAAGATATCCCCCTAGGCTTTAGAAGTTCTGGGGCCTCATCGGCATTTCAGAGACGTGGTGTTCCTCACCAAAACGCAAGTGGGAGCCAGCAGGGTACCAATAACAGCAGTTTACTGGGATCTGCCGCCCAATTCCAACCAGTTACTGAGACCGGGGGCTCACCAGAGAATCTTCTCTCAAGCTCTCGAAGAACCTACTCTCCCACTACTTCTATACTGTCAGGGAGGGTGAACCCTCTCTTTCACGACGCAAATCAAAATAGTGATGACTTGTGGCCGCTTGCCTCTTCAGCTCCAGGCATTCCCTCTTTGATCAACTTTAGCCATCCGATATTGACAGCTAGGAGACACGGCCATGCCAGGTCTATGCTCAACATTAGTCCCACATTTTATCCTCGGAGTCATCCCTCGGGGGAAGTGGGTAGTTCGATGCAAACGGAAAGCAGCGACAACTTATCAAGGGAGCGAACTCCGTCTGGTAGTACCATCTCTAGTTTAGGTGGGAATTTCCACCCAAGCGCCACACCATCTTTAAATTCAACCGTGTACGAAACGCGTTCTGGTAATTTGTTCCGAAACATTGCCTCTCATGCTCAGTCATCTGGAGCATCCTCGGCATCGGTGACTTATGGCTCCGCCTCCTCTGGCAGGTTTCCTGTCAGGCGTCCTGATGGCTCTCATCTTGTTCCTCGCCGCAAGTCTCACTCGGAGTCTATGGCAACCAGGTGTGTAGTCGGGGTTGTCTTATCTCGTTTCGATGTGAGGCTGTGATGATAAAATAATAATGTATGACATTAAATAGTATGCATAGTGTATTAGCGGAAGAGTGCTATAAAGTGAAACTTATCATTGTAAAAATAGGTATAATATTAAATATTATTGTTATCATTATTATAGTTATTATTATTATAATTACTATTATTATTATTATAATTGTTGTAGTTGTTATTTTGTTTAAGGCAGGATCTCCCACTGTGTACTGTGATTGTGTTTCTCTTTTTTCTTTTCTCTCTTTTTTTTTCTGGGTTTGTCTCTCCTGATGGTTCCGGTATTGTCGCCATATATTATATAGATGATTCAGTATATATGAGATATATGAGACTACCTTTACACTGAAATAATATCAAGAATAATTTTTAGTGGTCATGTATGTCGTGAATTACATGTAAAAAGGAATTTAAGTTTCTGAAAAAAGAGGGATGTTTTTATTTGTTTATATGGTATATATATATATACATGCATTTCAACAAGGACACGTTGTTGTGTTGTTCATGTCATTTATGTATATTATATTTTACTTTCAGAAGTGTTCTATCAAAATTGTCCATCCATTGTTTAGGAAAGTGTCATAACAATATGGAAAAAAATGCAAGGGTAGAAATGGGAAGTGTTAACTGGTGCAGCTGATTGTCTTGGGCAGGTGGCAGTTAGATCAGATTTAACTATTGTCACATTATCATTTTCTTCTTCACTTTCCCTGGTTCATGTGTAAATTATCTAAATCTTTTATGGGCGGTTGGTGGGTGGTCTGGTGTGGTTTGCTCCTTCATTTTTAGGAAACAGCTGTCCTCTTTATCTTTCCTCCTTCTTGTTCATCTTTGTTACTCTCTTGTAACATCTCTAATCTTCGGCACTTGTATGACCTAGTTGTGTTGTAAGTGCTTACTAAAACCGAATCTTTCCCACAGGTTTGTGGGCATCGAAGGGTCGTCTGCCAGGAGCCGGGGTCTGGCAGCGTTTTCTGAACTGAGCTCTGGTTATCAACCGTCATCACTTCAGTTACAGCCACTTGCTTCTGGAGCGTCCGCTACCACAGATGCTTCAGATTCTCCTTCCTCTTCCTCCTCTTCCTCCTCACTCACCTCCTCCTCCTCATCCTCTTCTGCGTCTTCTTCCACTCCCGTCACTACCTCCACCACCACGCCTTCTGCGGCCACCTCCTCCTCTTCCTCCTCTTCCATCGTCAACTGGCTGGGGAATTTGTCCAGCATAGGACAACATGCCAACGCAGCGACAAGTGTGCGAAGACCCGGGGAACGGTCAGCCACTCAAACACGAAGGAGTGACCAATCGTGGGTCGCCGCTGTGGCAGCAGCTGCAGACCAAGACTCGGTTACTGGTGGACTTTTGTCAGGATCTCTGGCCAATTTTCCTACAGGTAGGTGGCGTCTGGTATAGTTTGCAGCTTTTCTTTTTCTGATGATGTACTCATGATGTAATTTGAGGACTGTTTTACTTTTCTGGTTTCCGTAAGGCATTTGGATCAATATGTAGGATATTTGAAGGCTGATTCTACAGCCAGTGTGTTTTAAAAAAGTAGGACAGAAGGTCATAGAATGACTAATCATTGTACAGCTCTTGGGGCTACTAGAAATTATGGAAATTCCCATTATTATTATTATTATATTATTATTATTATTATTATTATTATTATTATTATTATTATTATCTTCCCAAAAAATGATATCTCTGCCTGTTGATCATAGACACTTACAGAGTGAAACTTCTGTAGTAAGGGATTAAGAAATGACTTCAGCTGTTGTTTGGCCCCAGGATCGTCGTCATCGAGCTCATTGAACGGTGCAGGAGGCTCCAGTCGGTCGCTGCTGCCTCTGGGTCTGGTGCATGACTCTCGCCTGCCGCCCTGGTGGCACAGCACGGTGGAGGCGGCCAGCAAGTACCAGCCCAGGTCCTCGCACGCCGAGAATGGCAAGGCCCGCTCGCCCCCCTTGTCCATGACGGAAGATGGGAAAACTGTGCCTGCGGAAAGCAAAAGGAAGGATTACAAAGCTTTGGTTAAAAAAGCTGGTCCCTATATTCTTGGTATGCAAAATAACCCAAACCACTTTTTATCTGAGTCCTGTTGCCACTAGTTCGAGTATAGTTTGAGAGTTTAAATTCATTATGCTAGACTAGTAATCAGTTGTGCATTCAAATTTTCGAATGAAAAACTGAAAAAGTAGCTTCAACGATTAAAATTTTTGCTGAATATTTTGATTTCATTGTTGGAATACAAAGTATTTAAAAGGTCTGAATAACTAAGTCTATCTTTGGTTAAAGTTGTAGAGTCAGACATATGTGAGGCAGCGTGGTGGAATCAGCTCTCGTCAATTTTTGGGCATGTAGAGTTATTGGTGTCATCTTAAAGCTTGTTCACTTTTCCATGAAAAAAATATCCATTTATCTTGAATACAAGTCGAGATTATATTTGATAATGAAGGAGATGGGTCACCTGTTTTCAAAGGTAAAATTAGTGGGAAAATGGCCACCAAAGATTAGTTATTTCCTTAGCTTAAGAGTCCGTTGTTACTGAAAATTTACATTTTTTGTGCCTTTAATCAACGTTTTTAAGAAAAATCCTCACAGAAATGAGTTCTTTAATGGGCATGAAAGGTGTTGAGCCAAAAAACAAAAATTTCATAAAAACTCACAAACCCGCGGACAAATACAAGTTTTTTCACTTTGATCATTTTGACGAGAGCCTGATTCCACCACGCTGCCTCACATATGAGGTTTGATCCACCCTCTTTAGAATGTTTGAAAGGCTTTGATGAAAGGTCCAGTTTTGTGTTGTAAGTATTCTTTTCTTTGATACTTTCAGCTTTATTTGAGAAACAAAAAGTTTGTTCTCTCCCTTTCACCTCCACCCCTACCCCCGCCGAATTTTATACTGACCTGTCTTGCTTTTTGTATCTTATCCATGTTCGGCAAACCTGAATGAAACAAAAGACAGAACAGTGAGCACATTCTTCATTTTTTAATTGGTTTCTAGGCGTTAGAACTAAATTTTATCCAAAGTCTTAGTGGTGTGCTTTTCCTTAGAAAAATTTGTCCACAGTCCTAGTATTCCTAGTATTGTGCTTTTTCTTAGAAAGTACAATTGGCTACGTTAGCGGTCACTATAGTGTTGATACATTTAAGTGACCAAATCTCTCGTCCGAGACAGGCGTCTCTGGTGTAGGGGTTAGGTACTTCACTGTCACATACAAAAGACCCATGTTTGATTCCTGAGTGGGGGGGGGATTTTTATCGTTTTTTAGTCGTCCAGCTGGGATGTTGTATCCCTCTTGGCCCGGGTTGGCCTGACAGGCAAGGTTGAAAGCCCGCCTCCTAAATGATCTAAATTGTGTTGATGGGGGTGTAAAAACACCGCCATTTTAAGAAAAACAATTTTTTTTCTCTTCCCAGGGCCTCGTATCGGGTCATCTCCTGTGCGCAGTATTGTTCAGTGTTTGGCCCGCAAAGAAGGTTCTGATAAGTTTTTCATTATCAAGGCAAGTGTGTTGCTAATTCTTTTGTTATCAATTGACATGTGCTTTTGTGTGTTTTGCTTCTTCTTTCCTGTTAGATCTATTGTCTTTATCTCTCCACTTTCCTTTTTGCGTATGTTACTCTCTAGTAACACCTCTATTCTTCTGCACTTATATGACCTATTTGTGGTGCAGGTGCAGTAAAACTAACTAAAACTAGCCTAATTCTTTTGTTGAGTCTATTGGGGATAATTTTCGTTTTTCTTTGAGTACAGCTGTATCGGTAGTAGAAGACGTACCAGGTACAGACACAGTGCATAGAGTATCAAATTATAAGGTGGAGGAGGTATGCCCACAGTACACTGCGAATTCTGTCAGGGACCCGACTTTGTATGCTTGGGAAAGGCACTTTACACTAATTTTCCTCACTTCACTCAGGTGGAAATTGGTACCTGGCTGAAGACGGTGAAAGATCTTGTCAGTTTGTTAGTATTTGAGCTCGTGAAATCTGCAGCTTGCTCTGTATGCTTCCCACAAAGCCGAGATTGTTTCTGGGTGTTCTTGGGTCTGCTAGGGTAATAATAATTGTAAAGTGCATAGAGCATGCTGTGGAGCGTGAATATGCGCTCTATGTAAATGCAATTATTATTTATTATTACAGTCAAGGGGTTAAGATACACAGTAGTTGCAGGATTGCCAACTGTCCAGTATTTCCTGGGTTTCTCCCGGATTCGGAAACCGGGTAATTTGAGAGGATATGTACTACACTACACCAAAACCAGTTCCATTCAATGTAATTTTGTTCGTTGGTACGTAATTTGATGTTATAATGTTGGGTGTCCATGATTGGGTTTTTAAAAAGTTGGCAAGCCTGTAGTTGTAGAGAGGACAAAACGTCCTTTTAGTTTGTATAAGATTTGGAAGGCTTTGAAACTGTCAGTCAGTACATTTGTGTGTGAGTGAGAAAGAAAGAGAGTGATGGAGAGAAAGGATCACTTTTGGAACTATATTATGGTGCACATGGTCTTTTGTATCAGTGTAAAGCGCTTTGAGCATTGTCTTGGAGGAAATGGGCTCTGTAAGTGAAACTTGTCATTTTGTTACTGTTTGAGCACTTGATAGACAGCTGGCACTGTATGCTTCTTGGGAAGCTGAGAATTTTCTATTGTCTCCTGGGTTAATAATAGATAGATTGTAAAGCGCATAGGGTTTACTGTTGAGCAGGGATATGGACTTTTAAAATTTTGCTTTCCATTTTAAAGCGCCTAGATCTGTGTGCACACAAGAGAAGTTGTTATAAAGATTATCCATATTGTTATGTTTTCCCTCTCAGATTAACCGGCGTCTGCGGTGTAGTGGTCAGGAAGAATTTTTTATCGTGCGTTTGGTCTTTCTGCTGGGATGTTGTATCCCTCTCAGCCCAGGTTGACCCAGACAGACAGGGTCGGAAGCCTGTCCCTTGAATGATCTAAATTGTGTTGACGGGGGCCTAAAAATGCTTACATTTCCCCCCCCACTCAGATTCTGACTCTGGCTGAGCCGCTGAAGGAGACGATGGACGACGGTCAAGGCAAGATGTTGATGCTCACAGAGTTCTCCTTGCTCTCCCAGCTGAAGGACATGAGGGGTGTGGTGCACTGCAGGGACTTTTTCAAAGTACGGCCTTCGGGTCTGTTCTGTAACGGTTTTGTGAAAATGTTGCGGCCAACCAGTATGTACAAAATGTATTGAATATGTTTTTGAGGGTTTGAGTATGGAAGACTGTTTTTGTGTAAGAAAAAGCAGCGTGTTCTTCTGTTTCTAGTATTGTTCCTCTCGGACTTGCCAATGCTGAAGAAAATTTATGAACTTTCAAAACTGAATTTGTGAATAATAGTGAAAACAAAACCCATGAGTCAGTTGGAGAAATCTGTTGCTGCTAGTCTGTTTTGAATAGCTTGAATTATTGAAGGCAGAAAAGTGTGTGTGAAGTGTTTAGGGGGGGGTTTAAGCAGGCCAATGCCCACCATGTTGACCCACCGTGTGGGTAGAGTCTGCTTAGTGTTGAAAAGTTGGCAGCTTTGTGATATTATTCATAAAGATGTTTTAATGGTGTTGGGTCCGAACTAGCTTAACCCCTTGAGACCGAGTCCCCGATAAACCGGTGACGCGCATATTTTCCTTCTTGCCGAGTCCCCGATAAAGCGGGATGAGAGAGGGTAGTATGAATTATGGGATGGAAAAAGGCAGTAATTTTCGACCAATCACAAGCCTTGGGTTAATTTTAGTGCAGAGTCATTCATTCAT